TATACCCGCCTACCCCATCTAGCAAACACTAGAGCATTCATGAAGAAACAAGATAGTTCTAGAAACGTGGCGTCATAGTGGTCATGTGACTCGCTGACGCAACAGAACGAACATTAACTTCAACAATACCCTGTGACTGCAGTTCAATTACTCACTATCTACACACACATTCCATTCTTCTCCCGTCACGTTGTCACCCTCTTTTATATACCAGCCTACCCTATATCTAGTAAATACTAGAGCATTCGCCAAGGTACGGGATAGTTCTAGAAACGTGGCGTCACACTAGTCATGGGACTCGCTGACGCAACAGTGTATAATTACTTAACAATATTATTTCAACTGCACTATGATCATCACATCTATTACATATGACGCATTCCGCTCAGTATAGAGCTCATATCATTATAATATCAGGCCGGCTTGGATACAAGTTCAATAAGACAGTAATGGCTGGAACACTATTTATATAAGCCATATGTTACAACAAAAAATTGTTATTGTGTGAATACCTTTTCAAATGGCTTATATTAGACGTGGCACAAATGTCACAACATAAAATTAAAATGATAAACTTAAGGTTGTTAGCAAGTTGATATAAGGACACTTTCGCGTACTAATTATAGTTCATAGATATTGTGAATTATACAAACTGCGTGGTTTGTTGATAACAAATTATCTATATAAATTAATAAAAATAGTGTTCTAACTACAACTCTCTTTCTTGTGTCCCAGCCGGCCTGAACAGCTCTGAGCGAAACACATTATCAGCAATGAATATGGCAAACATAGTGTGGTTGAAGTATACTATTATACAATCTTATGTTATAATTTCTGAATAAATAATAATAAATTATAATAGGCCTAATAATGTCTTATGGCAAGTATAATGAGTTAAATTTCGCTTATACCTAGAATATAATTAGCGAACCCATGGGCCCATAACCCACTTTTACAGGGCCATTATAATGCACGTTTAATTTCTTTAACAAAGTTACGAACGGTAATTAGTTGAGTGAAATTATTTACCTTCGTGCAAACCTCAGGGCCGAGATTATTTGCTTGTACCATTTGGAATCAGTGCGACCAGCGGTTTAGGAGGAGTTACGTGAGACACACACATTGAACCTTATTATATAGATATGTAGTTTAATGCTATTTTCCATTATGTTCTCGTGATTTCATTACATCAAAATATAATTAAAGGTTTCTAACATAATATAAACTAGTTGGAATACCCATACCCTGGATGGAAGTTATGTAAATTCATGATTAATGAAAGGTTATCTGTGGATATGAAAAGTTGCTTCCCTAATATGTAATTATAAAAAATGCAAAAACGCCCATAAAAACTGCAAAACACAAAATTTTAAACCGCAAATTTGCATGTATTTCCACATAGACCCAACAAAATTTCTTGCCAAATTTAGTGAAAATCGATCTACAGGGGACAAATTAGTTGTAAAAAACGCCCATAAAAACCGCAAAACTGAAAATTTGTATGTACCCCCGCATTGACCTAATGAACCTCCATACCAATTTTGGTGAAGATCTATCCACACCCTGCGAAGTAGTTACATGAACAAACAACAAACACCACTATTATATGCATATAGATATAACGTAAGAATTTTGTTTGTTTGATTAAATCTTTACAGTGTTGATGCTAAGAGATTTTTCTTTGAAATTACGTTTTCACAAACATTTTTTAATTCTTTGGAGAGTAATAATAATTTTTCGTTCTGAAAAGGTTGCTATCAAGACTTTAAACCCAAAATGGATAGAGCAATTTGATCTTCACATGTATTCTGACCAGTCAAAGATGTTGGAAATCACCGTGTGGGATAAAGATTACCATAATAAAGACGATATAATGGGCAGGTAATGTATTTTTTGTTCGTGATACATTTCCATACTGCATGCACTCGATCATTGGTCGGGCTTTTCCGTCATACTTAGAAAAAACACTTTCAATACAATTAGTTTTTGTTTTCTTGGTGAAAAGCTAAACAATAAGCTATCTGCACTCTATCCCCCTTGGTAATCAAACCGTGGATTTTAGCGTTGTAAGTCTGTAAACCTACCCTGACCCACTGGAGACAAGATGTAGGGGAGACCGGGGCTAGTTGTTACGATTTTTAGAAAAAGTCCAATATCTAGCGAAATAACCCGAATCATACATTGAAACTGAATGAAAGTGAGAGATAAATATGTACTTTATCAAAATTGTGTATTCTATATTGAAAAAAAATTGGTTACATAAAAGATTTTGTAAATATTTTGAAGTAAAGTCAAGTGTAACAATATGCCCCGGATGCGGGGTAAGTTGATATAATAGGTGGGGCACGTTGTTACACAATAAAAAAAAATCTGGAATATTTATCAAAATTAGCCTACTCTATCATGCTAAATGTTATAATAGGCCTACTGTAGTTTTCTCATAACATTTAGCATGTTAGAGTATAAGCCTAATTTCAGTAATTATTCCAGATTTTCTAAATTTTAATGCGATATAATAATTGTAGGCTTAATAAATTTATTAACGATAACACCATAAAAAAACTTTTAAAACGACAATTCAAACATAATTATATTGTAATGAATTTATTATTGATTACACGATAGAATAAATCTTGAAACGTTATTTAAACATATAAGTATCATTGTTCCATGATCGAAAAACATAAAACAAAAATGGTTATAGTTCTAGTCTGTGTCACAATCACAATTTTCACAAATATAAGGACCACGAGTTTCACCTGTTGTGCATTCATAATGAGCCCACTTATAACAGACTGTACACTGCACCCGTTCTTCTCTGGGTACAGAATTACTAAACAGGTCTCCACATAGAAGACACTCAGTTTCTTCCATCCGATTTTTCGCTTTTTTTCTTGCTTTTATTACCAGCGCTAGCGCCTTTTCCGTGACCACACTCTTTCATTTTCTTTTTATCTCTGTCATCTTTTTCAAGCTGGAGTTGTTGTTGTTTTCGGATGTAGAGGTCAAAATAGCCGAATATCGTTTTTTCCTGGTTATTTTGGTCTTTCGTGGGGATGCCTTCCTGAAAGGTCTTATCATCTCTGGAGTCCTCAGCGGGTCTGATGTTTTCCTGTTGGTAGGAGGACTATTCATTGGTACGTCTTCACTAGTAGATGATGTCTCCAAGTTTTCTGTTGATACTTCATTTGGCAAGGGACGATCTGTTACGTCGCTGGGAAGAAAATCATCATCTGAAAAAAAATGTGACGGTCAAAAGTATATATGCCGGAAACTTGAAAACCTTTCTTGATATTTTCTGGAGTAAGCGCTCGTGTAAGGCTTTGATTTACTAAGGTTGGTATGTCATAAATGCACCTTGTTTTTCCAGGATTGTTCTTTAGCCAACCGTCAACTGCTGCGTTATAATACTTCTTTAAAGGCCCGTATATACTTCTATCCAGGGGCTGTAATCTGTGCGAACAGTGAGGCGGGAACGAGAGAAGATTTATACCATTTTCCACACAAAAATTGATACAATCTAAGCTGATATGTGACTCTTGGTTATCAAGGAGAAGAACAACAGGATGATCCTTAGAACATTTGACTGTCTTCAGAAAATGTTCCATGAATTTTAGAAAATTATATTCGGTCATTCAACC